AGCACGTATGAAATCCATGTAAGGTTAGGAAAGCTAGTGTGGGTCCCATGTGTAGGAAAAGCCAGGTGTAGAAAACATGGGAGAAAAACTTCCCAGTTATCCAAAGGGAGATTCAGTGAGGTATCTAAAGATTCTCCTACAAAAGAATAACCAGTGTCTGAAAATCCTATGTCTTCTTTCTATCTCAACAAGGACAATCACATTTTCAGGTAAATTAGAAGTAGCACATAAAGATTTATATATATATGACTCTAATAAAGAAGATAAATTATCCCATACGAACTACTGTATGCCTTAAAGGAGCATAAAATGAGGGTGGATGCTGTTGCTTGGTGGCTTTAGAGTTTCAATTTTGCATGATGAAAAATTTCTGGAAATCTGTTTCACTGAACACTAATGAGGTGTACACTTAAAAATGGGTAAGATGGTAAATTCTGTGATGTCATGTGTTTTTAACTACAATTGTATGATAAATGATAGTAACAGAAAATAAATTAATATAACTATAAAAATAATATAGCTGCCATTTCTAAGTAAAGGTCCGCTTAACACTGGCTTGGAAGAAATGGTCAAAAAGTAACATTTTCTTTTACTGCTTCTCAGCCTTTTGACTAAGATCAAGTGCAACAAAATAACACTTCTAATGAAAGTATAATACCTCCTCCCTAAAAAACAAGATATGAACCACATTTATCATCTAACTTTTAAAGATACAGAGAGAGGCACAATGTTCGCTGTTGAAGTGGACTGCCAGGAACTTTGTTGATGTTCTTAGAGAAAGCAAATATCTGCAATGTTACAGCATTCCCTCAGTGACCCAGAGCTTCCTTTGGATAAAGGAAAACAACCATCTCCTCCCTATCATCCAGGAACTAAAGTGTGCAGCCATATAATCTGAAACTCCCCTTGAAAACAATACTGTCTCCCTGTCACATCCATCCAATGTTGATTTGGCGGCAAAATCCCCTGCCACTTGCTCATGCTAAGTGATTCCTTTCTCTGGGGCCCAGGATGATCAGGGTACCTACTTTCGGCAAAGGTATTTTTATTAGGTTCTACTTTATACTACAGTTGGGTGTGCACTGTCCTATCTCCCCCGCGAGACTAAGTTTCTAGAGGAAAAGAGATCTGGATCTTCTTGGGAACCTACGAGCCTACGAGTCTGGTTTGCCTAGTCAATGACAGGTGCCTACTCAATGTCAGAGACTCATAAATTAACAAGCCTTCTGGCTTTTCACTGCCCGACTCTTCTCTCAACGCTTTTCGAGAGCGAAGATTTCGGGCAGCAGAGGAGAAACAAAGATGTTTAAAAACGAAGAAGAAAAAAGGGGATCGTCTAACCTAACGCCTCAGAAAAGTGTATCGTCTCATCACAGGAGGACTTGAGCCTTTCAGAGGAGAGCAAATGAAAAGGGAAAGGTCACCTCTAGGGCACTACATGACAGGATCAATGAAACAGTCGCAACCAGAGACAGATACCCGGGACACGATGACGTCGCCGGAGGGGACCTCGGGCCTCTGTGGTAAGGGCGTGCAGCGTCCCAGCAACAGCGCCTCCGCTCCGCAGACACCAATCCTACCGTCCCCCTTAGGTCCAGTACTCACTCTTGTCCAGAGGGCGGGTTAGCTCGGCCCCGACGTCTCCATCAGCGCTGGGGCCCTGAGGTTTCACAGTCAGCGGCACGAACAAGGAGGTGTTCGGGGCTTTGGAGCCTCCTGAGGCGGAGGAGGAGGCGGCGGCGGCAACGGCGGGAACACGCCCCAGAGCCCCGGGAAAGGGCCCAACGTGAGCGCGAAGAACAGAGCAGATAGCTGCCCGGTGGCCAGCCTGGCGCCCCGCGGGGAGCCGAGCCCACAGCAGGGCACACCTTGGGAAGGACATTGAGGCCACAGGCCCAAAAGGAGGCCGCCAGGAGCGGCCCCGAGACACCGCGGTGGACAGTGACGCGCTCCGCCAGCGCCTCCTGTCTGGAAAGACTCAAAGCCAGCAGGGGAGCCCAGAAAAGTGCCTGACTAGTAAGGAAAAAGTGGTGCCTTGAGAGTGCTCATAAGGGGATGTTAAAGTATATAAATAAAAAAGAGCAAACATAATTTCTTGTTCTTTTTATCTTTCGTTAGAAAGCGAGGCCGTATTTCGCTAAAGACATGAAAATAATCAGGCATCTTTCCGGATGTCGGGGGAGGCCCGCGAACTATGTCACGTGACGCGAACTGGCCCTGTCCCTAAGCGCGTGTTGCGAGCGCGGGTTGAGTTCACGTGCAAAGCTGTGAGCTGTGTGTGCGAGATCTAGAGAAGTCCCTCTCTGTTCTGCGGGCACCAGCGTGGCTTGCGGACTGAAATAGTGATTAACGTTTCCCAAAATTTTCTTGGGCTATTAAATTTCCGCTCCTGATGCAGTAACGTTAGAGAACATAGCTTGATCTGCCCATCAGGAAGGTGATTAAGTAATTTTGTTGTACAGGTTTATTAAGTGAGCCCTTGACGATACGTTTGTAAGTACGTGTACTTTAATGTGAGCAGTTCGTGTCCAGCACCAGAGAGCTGTGTCACAACAGCATGGCATAAAGTATGTCCTCTTGTACCCTAGCCAAAATGTAGTTCTTTTTGCTTTAGTTGGCTACTTTGCATTTTTTTCAACATGTGCTGTTAGATTTCCGAATCTCATTGTACTTAAACCATTAAGATCTTGCAACTTTCAAGGAACATACTGAGTAGTAAGTAATAACTGTGTCAAGAAGGTGTTCCTTTAACAATTTGTTTGTGCCTTTGGTTCACAGATACTTTTTAAACATCCCAGATACATGCAAACTACCTCTTCCCCTCATTTCTGATCTGATTGAGATGTTAAGACCAGTGCATGTTAAATAATATAAAAACTGCAAATACTTAACTTTTTTTTTCTTTTGGTAGAAGTGGGATGTACGTCAGAGGTGCGGGGGTTAAAAGGATTCACCAGAGACAACAGAAACAGACGGATTTACTGAAATACAGTAAGGGAAGACAAGAGGTCTGCTGAAATACAGTAAGGGAAGACAAGAGGTCTGCGCCATGTGTGTTAGCCACCCAGTCAGGGATTTAGCTCAGGCCACAGCAGTGATAGTGCTGAAACTTAGCCCCTAGATCACCAGGGAGGCCCTGGACTCATCTTTTTCTAAGGATAATTTTAATTTTAATTTTAACCTATGAAAATAAGGTTCTTTTATTCAGAAATTGTGTATATGACAGAGTATAAACACAAGCAACAGGCTTACTGCTTAAAATCCACAAAATGAAATTTAAACAATGTATAAGGCAATGTTGTTTCAATTAAAGGGGAAATTTTTAATTTTTTTAAAAGTGAGCAGTGGTGAAAATGTGTACAGTATGCCTTGATTGGGAATTGGCAAGATCAGGCAAGGTTGGCCAAGAGCGCTTTACTGTCATAGAAATTAGATGGAGGATCTGTATGTATTCTAGGAGTCTGTTGTAACAAAACTGAAGGGGTATACAAGTCTTATGTAACAAAACTGAAGGTGTTTTTTTTTTTAAATAATGTAATAGTTGAAGGTGTGTTATTTTAATGTGGAATTTAAACTACCAGAGAATTGTGTCATTAAACAACTTTAAATAGGGAATGACATAAGAATTATGCTCATAGAAATCCCGAAGCCTAAAAGATCTACTTAAGGGTAACTGTTCCTCCTTGTGCTTTTATCTAATTTTAAACTTCTAAATTACATTTCATTCCAAGGTAGTATAATCCCTTGTAGAATACTGTGGGAGGAGAAGGGTTATTTCCCCCTTTTCTTCTTGACTTTTCTAGGCTAACAAATAATCAGATTTAGAAGAAAAAGTTTAATAGCATTTATACTTCTTGTATAAATAGGAGCTACCCAGTATAAGCTAACTGAATGTTACATCCTTCAATAATCAGCTAAATACAAAGGATGGTGGGGTGGTCATTTAAGGGCAGTCACCAAGAGCACAATAAACAGGGGTATGATTATATGCAGGTTTGTCAGTTTCATCACTGATGAGTTAAGGAGGTCCAGAATATCCTGTTTTGGTGTAAGATTTATTTCTAGTTGTATTTGAGTTCCTGAACCTCCCAAAAGTATACAAATACCTTCTTGGGGTGCATCCAGGGAATAGTCTTATAACCCTATACAAACAACCACACCTAAGCAAAACTCACAAAAATCTCCTTAGGAGTGATTTAGTCTTCCTAAAGGTAATTTGCTGTCACATATGTGCACTTTCTCCCAGCAACATTCCCTATTAAAATGCCATTTTTTACTATCAGTCAACCCCTTTCCCCAATCAAGAAGGTATGTAAACCCTAAATTCAAGTGATGTTTTATGCGCATTTTTGTGAATCCTGTCATCTATTGAGCTATTCTCTTGTTAATGATTTTTTGTCAGTTTAATTAGCAGCTTCCCAAACACTGAATGAACCTAAGAGGGTAGGTTTTTCCTACCTTAACAATTAAAATTTTTTTTCACTATAGAGAAATACCTATATGTTTAAAAGGTTTAGACAGTGGTTTGTAACCGTAAGCAGCCTTTTTTAGTAATGGCATCTGGGCCCTGAAATTTTTTAATTTTATTGGTCTGGACAGGAACCTTGACATATTTTTTTAAAACTCCTAAAGTGAACTGAAATAGAGCCAAGGTTGAGAACCACTGGGTTAGATCTTGTACTTTTTATTAAAGACACAAAATTTCATTTTCAGTTTATTCTAATTAACTGGCCAACCTTTTACTCAATTCACCACATGGGAAATTTAATTGTTTCAAATTGGTTATGCAACAGTCTGAAATAAAGTGAAAAGCATCCTGTTTATGACAGTGCTTTAAGCTACCTAGTTATTTAAAATCATGATTGATGCTATTTATAAAAACTTCTAAATTGCCACAATTATAGCTTCTAAACTATTGAACAGTCTTGTCCTCACCAATAAATCTGACAATGAGACTTGAGGAAAGAGCTATTTTAACCATTCAAATAGTAAGCTCAGTATTTGTTTCAAATTCTTTATTATACATCATGGTTGCACGATTTGAGGCTGGTTAAATGCAACTGATTTTCAAAATTTCTTTCAATATTTTCTAGATTACTACATGCAAGTGACCATGAAAATATTTGGCATTTTAATTCTGAAACTCTGAACAGGCACTTAACATGAAGAAAACATTACCCTTCACTGATAACCACATTGAAAACAGATGTTCCAGCACACAACACATGGAACCCTTTGTCAGTAAAGGTTACTGACCATTTTACTAAAGTGCCATAGTAGTAAAACAGGTTTAAAGAAATTAATTTGGGTTTCTTAACTTACTCATAAAGTAAGGTTAACTGACAATACTTGCGCTGTATATAAAAAAATACTGGTACAAAACCAGTGAACCATGAGAGTTTCATATAGCAGGGTTCATTTTAGTTCCTACACCCCACATATAATGTATTTTGAGATCAGACCCCATGCATATGAACAGATGACTGCAACCTTTTTTTAGATATGCTGAGAAAATGACTTGAATTTAGTGTTAAAAAAATAAAGAGTGGGTAAAGTTTAAATTTAAATTTGAGCAAGCCAAAGTTTTCAGTTTAACATGAAATTGTCTGAATCCTGATTAACTACATGTTTCACAGGCCCTGTGAGACCCTCCCCTCCCCACATTTCCCCCTGTAAAGAGAAGAGAATATTTGTGAGGTCAGAAAACTGTATTTGCATATATATGTTATAAAGAATCCTTAAATTAAAAAATTTTGAAATATTTTCAGAAAAATTAGTTTAACAAATTCTAAAATGCCAATATAGCGTAAACTCCTCAATGCACAAAACAAGAGCTTGCTGGACAGTCGCAAAATGTAACTAAATATGGGGAAAGGGAAGAGAAGGCTATAATGATATGTCCAATAATCCCATGGAGAAAAATTTTAATATTCATAGTGCAGAAGATTTCAAAGAGGGTAAAATTCAGGAAGCCATGAAAGCACCTACAGTGAAACATTCCATATATATTTCTCAAGCACATATGTAAAAACATACATACAATTCTCAAAAATATTGAGATGCTATGTTTTAAATCTCTGCAGGATTTTAGGGCCACTCAGGTTTTCTAATTTTATTTGAACACAAAGTAATTTTTTGCATGTAGACAGTAAGAGGTAATCATTAGCATGAAAAAATATTTATAATCAACATTATGCAGAAAGAAAGCAAAATTACAAATACCAGCCTATTCACATGAAAATCTTTAATGTTTTTTGCTGACGCATTTGAGTGCTTATTAAACCAAAGTGTGCAGTAAAAAAAACTGGCAGCTTAAGAAAGTTCCAGTGTTTCAAAGAAAGCACTTTTTGAATGTATATACATGAAGAACATTTAGTTATATCTTAAAATAAATGCAGCACTGTAAGATAAAGGAAGACTTATAAATGGAGTTTTGGCCTTTTACCCCCACACACGCTGCAACCATCTTTAACCTGCTGAACTAAATAGATTTTTTTTTCTTTTTTTTTTCCTATTCAGTTCACATTTCAGGCTGTTCAGCAGATGCCTGTGATTCTGGTGATTCAAATCGTTGGTGAAAGTTTGTTCTCTGTTTCCTCAGTTTTTCAGGAGCCTTTCTCCACAAAATGATCTCCTAATAAAACACAAAACATCAACAGATTAATGTTCTCATACTATGCCTTAAATTTTCACCTTAGAAACATGGCCTCTTCAATTTTAATGATAATAAAATTCTTCCCTACAAAAGCCCTCTGTCCTAACAGGCCCCTTCCCAGTTCTAATCTTGGATTGACCCTTCTGCCACCTCCGTGCCACCCATGAGCACTCACAGACACCAGCATTCCAAACTTGCACAAATTTCTCGCTATTAACCTCTTTATATAATTCTTAAAATCTGCCCTTTGGTTTCATATTCTAATACCTGATCCAAGTTCAAGTTCAGGTCACTTTCAAGCTTTAGGTACTAAAATAGAATCCTGGATCTGCTTTTGTAACCTAAGGCTCCTAATCCATTTTTCCTTTTACAATCAAATTAATCTAGAACATTACTTGGATTGCATGTGCTGCCAGGATAAATCTCCAACCATGCATACATCCAAGGTCTTCTACAGCCTTTATCTAAGTCACTCCCTTCCCTCTGGTAGCTCTATCCCCCATCAAACACTTTCCTTGTCTTCAATGTACTCAATTTTTCTTACTTTTACCAGTATCTCAATTCCTCTATCTAAATCTTGCTCTAGCCAATTCATCAGGAAACCTCTTCTAAATTCTTAAATTTTGCCTCAGGAAAGGCTTTTTTCTTCCAATCAACACATCAAAATTTAAGCATCCAAATGGATGCCCATGGGAAGTTCCATAGAGTCAGGGTCACAATATGTAATTGATCAAAAAACTGTATGTTTCATACAGTCTATTTTTAAGTTATAAATTACCAATGCCTGATTATACAACAGTATAGCAGATTAAGTGGAATTAATTTTCTCTCTTCTAAATTACTCAGTTTCCTGTTATTTAAGGTATATAATCCTTCTTTTTCCTTGTGTCTGCAATGAGGACCCTGAGGGCAAATTTTTTTATAAAAAGTAATTTTTGTATTCTTCGTAGTACCCAGCACAAAATTTGCCATTCAAATACTAAGCTGATTCAGAACACAAAAAGATCATTCTAAGCACAACTGTCATTTAAACTCCTCTAAAGGCTTTTAATCATTTTAAAATGAGAACAAGATTTATGTTTACATAAACATGTTTTATACTAAAAAGAACCATTAGATATGGGCCATCTCAAGGCCATTTTCTATTTAGTAAGGGGAAAATGGGAAACCCAAACCCATCAAATTAATAGTCATTAAAAGTTAAGGTCAGTATTTGTTGACAAGGGTAAAATATTCAAAATTCTTTTGGGTGAAAAAGCAATTTAAGATGCATAATCATTCATAATGTTATCTATATACAAATACACAGATTTGTCTTAGAAATTAAAATACAACGGTGGAATTTCTGTTGATCTTAACTTCATTCTGTTCTTTATTGCCTGATTTTTAAAAAGTAAATAGCAAGTATTAGAGAAAAACCATAACATTTTAAATAAAAATAATTAAAAGTCCTACCAAACAGAGACCATTCTGAGTCCTACAGATGACTAGAAAGAGATCTATCACAACATAATTAAATTCACACTTATTTCTTTATCACACTCTGTCTTTACTGACTTAGAAAACCTCACTTGTTCAGTACAATCAAAAGTCAGTGTCTTCTAGGTGTTTTCAAACTGCCTTAGAATAAAATATCAGCCTAGGGGCTTCATTAATGGCACAGGGGTTTTAAGTCTCAACATTATGAAGTGATCCGCAGCCACCGCAGCACAAGTTTGATGCCCAGCCCTAACCCACATGGCACAAGGGACTTCTGACTTGCCCACTGGTCCCCTCTGCAATGCATTTCCACTGGTCCCCCTGTTCCCCGTCTTTCTCTTGTCTCTGGTATATCCTCTCACCATCCCCACACCTGTAATATGCCCCTTACCTCTAGCCTAAACCCCAGCTCTTATATACATAAATAAAATATTCTTTTTAAAAAAACAATAATTTTTTAAAAAATCAGCCTCGACACCACTATACCTGCTGCTTGAAGTACCTTCTGTCTTCCTCATCAACAAGGACTAGATTCAAGAAGTACCTTACTGAAAATTTTTTGTTCACATCTCTCATTGTCGGAGTTGGATCATATCCTGCTAAAAATAGTCTTATTGGAATTGATTCTCCTGGAAGGCAAGCAATTTCCATTAAGTTCTAAAAGATGATTAAATATGATCACATGCTAAGAACTAATCATGAAACAGCAACATAAAAAACTGGACCAAGGTTTCTCAGCCTCAGCACTAGAGCCATTTTGAGCCAGCCAATTTGCCCTTGTGGTAAGGGCCTGCACACTGTCGAGGTAGCAGAATCCTTGTCCTCCACCCACTAGATGCCAGCAGCATTCCCCAGGTGTGAGAACAGAAAAAAAGAAGAAAAAAACCATCATCAGTCATCGCCAAATGTCCCCTACAGTAGAACAGGCACCAAAATCACCTCTATGTGAGGCTCTGCTCTAGAAGTCAGAATTCCTGGGCTCCTATCTCAACAACTTTTACTGACTATGTCACCTTAGTCAAGTCACTTAACCATTTCAAGTTCCTCATCTATAAAATGGGGACTAGCAATAATATCCATCCTGTAGAGAATATGTAACACTATATGGGTTAATACATATTAAAAGCTTAAAAGTGTGCCAGTAGGTAAGTGCTATTTTAGTGGTTTTATTTTCTATTTTTATGAAGTTGACCATTCTAGTCCTGTGTATTATTTCTTAAATTCTTATAATTAACTCATCTAAAAGCAGCAAATGTTTGCAATGATCACTCCTTCATTAGTTAGCTACCACCTAACATAAGACTGCTATTCATGGCTTCTCTTTTCCTAAGTATGGCTATTTGTATATTCTCTTTTGAATCTTTTTTTTTATTAACACTTTCCTTGTACATAGTTATTATCTGAAAAATGTGATCCATCATTGTTCATAAAAATTTGTAGCAGCTGAAATTTTACAAACTAATGTTGTATAATAAGAATATACAAACATGGGTCTTGAATTAAGAAAGGTCTGGACTCAAAATCCAACTCTGCAATGCTTAGTGACAGTGAAAGAAATAAGAATATGTCACTACAAAATTATGTCCCTGAAATAAAATCATTTTGAGCAAAAGTCAGTTAAGAAGCAGCAAAGGGAGAAAAAACTCCCCATTTTCTACCTACAGCAGGGTAGTAAGTTCTTTTACTGAGGACAGACTCATCAGTCCAGGAGTGGGGACACGGATGGGAGGCTGCAAGCAAACCTTGCTTCATTTCCTCCCACGCATCAGCCAGTGTGCTACCCTTGGAGTCTAAAATTGCTTTATTGTCCAGTCACTTCTCTCCAAATTTGCTGTTCTTTGCAGATGCTACATAAATTGAAATTATAACCCATCATTTTGGGCTACTTTTTGTTGCGGTTTCTTCCACATGATGTGCACTGCATATTGATTGTTTCTTCTTATTGGTTTTTTGCAAGAGCCCCAGCTGAAAATTTAATGGGATGAGGTAAAAGTTCCCCCCCCACACTACATCACCTTTAACCTTTTTGTATCTCAGTTTCACCTGTAATATAAGGGGTATCACCACTTAACTAAAAGAGTGCCAGGGAAATCTAGAGCACATGAGATCATAATTCCTCACCTACAGTTGTCCTTCAACAACTGGTAGCTACTTTTTAACAGAGTGAGAAAAGGCCAAAGTCAACTTCAAAATGAAATACTAGCTTCATTGTCATAAGGAAGACTATCAGGTAATGGAATTACTTACATGATGGGACTATAAAGACTCCAAAATCACAGAGGATTAATAGTCAGCTAGCTATATATTTTACCTACTGTTCAATGAGTTAAAAAAAAATAGATTGAGGCCCTCCCTGGTGGCCCAGTGGGTTAAAACACAGCACTAAGAAGCTAAAGACACTTCAGCATGAGTTCGAGCCCCGCCCCAGAGGTGACCACATGGCATGGCAGACCTCTCCTGACCCGCTCACTGCTCTCCTCAGCAGTGTACTTCGTTTATCTGCCTGTTCTGCTCCCCACTCTGTCTCTGGTGAATCCTCTCACCGCCCCACACCTCTGGCTTATACCCCAGTTCTGTATGCATAAATAAATAAATCTTTAAAGAAGAAATAGATTTAAAGAGATGAACTACTGGGGCCTTCCTGGTGATAAAAGGCGTTAAATTTCAGCACTATGTAGCTATTGGCAGTTGCTGCAGCACAAGTTTGATACCAGCCAGCAAGCTGACCCATATGGCACAGCAGACCTCTCCTATCTCACCTGTTGCTCCCCTGAGTAGTGTTTTCAGTAGATCTGCCTGTTCTGCTCCCTATTCTGTCTCTGGTGAATCCTCTCACCCACCCCACACCTTTGGCCTACACCCCTCACTCTGGACTATAAAGACTCCAAAATCACAAAGGAATTAATAGTCAGCTAGCTATATTTCACCTACTGTTCAGTGAATTATGCATAAATAAATAAGTCTTTATTAAAAAACAAGATGAACTGTTACAACAGAAGACAGTCAAAATACAAATTCAGACTAGAGAACAGATATATATAAATGACTCAAATATTAAATATACACTGAGTAAAAAGATCTCATTTCAAACTATAAGTACCATTATGCTTTATATAGATAGTCTATATAAATTCTTTTAAAAACATCATTGGAAAGGGGCCTCCCTGGTGGCCCTGGTAGCACAGAGGGTTAAGTCTCAACAGTATGGAGCTATCCACAGCCACTGCAGCTAGGGAGTTGACCCACATGGCGCAGCAGACCTCTCCTATCACCTGTGCTCCCCAGTGTATTTCAAAAGATGTGCCTATTCAGCTCCTGAATCTTTCCCTGATGAATCCTCTCACCCTGCCCCCACATCTCTGGCCAACATCCCAGCTTTTGTATGCATAAATAAATCTATCTTAAAAAATCATTGACAGAATTTTTAAGAATTCTAAGTATTTTTATAATGAATAAATACTTTTAGGCCAAACTACCAATAGCATGGCTGTTTGCCTTGTTTATTTCTAACACAAAAGAAGAGAAGCAATGAAAAGTGTGTTACCTTTTACTGGTGCACCATCCATTATTTCATATTTAGCAATTGTTTCTGTTTCTGTTGTGGTACTGGGTCCTAGGTGCAACAATGTAAGCAACATTAAAAATTTACAGACTATAACTGTACACATTCTTACACATTCTTACACATTCTTCCTATTTTCCAACTACATTATTTTAGTACTGATTTGTATTCCCATCTGCTAAGATCCACACTTAAACACAGTTAGTCAACGAAGAGTTTCATCCCCTTCTTCCTAAAGATGATAATATATAGTTCAGAGAGAATCTTTTTCACAGAATTCTATCACTGCTAGCTAGTATCTTGCTAAAATGGAAACTAGCAGTACATATCAGAACTAACCACTAACATGCTAGTTTTTTCTGCAATACTCTGAAACTATCATCTGTTGCAGTAAATTTAAACTGTAAGACAGAATATCAACTGAATACTTGATTGGCATATAGTTCTTTGAAATTTAGAATTCACTCCTCTAGGAAATAACTTGAATCCAGGCATTTTCAAAAGTCAATGATATTCTAAGGAAAAAAAAAACCCACCAAAATATATAGTACGGATCCCGGTGTTGTATACAATATGCAAATAACTAAAGTCTATTGTATATGACGAGTACAGGTTCTTTTTATTAAAATTTTTCTAGAATTAATCATAAATTTTAAAATCAGAAAAATATGTTTAAATAAACAATGTATTTTTAAATTAACAGGAACCTGAGGTTTGGGTTCAATATCATCTTTAAATCACTTAAGCTTTTATTAGCAGGTATAAAATGGAGATTAAGAAACCACAGAAGTTTATAATTGTCACTATGTTGTTAAAAATAGGGAATTTCCCCCCTATATAGTGTTACCTAAAATTATTTTCAATAAAAAATCAATGAAACTAAAGGAACAACTAAGTTTCTATATTAATTAAAACATAAAAGGTTATAATGAAAGAGTAACATGATTTTGAGACAACTGGTCAGCCATTTGGGAAGAAGTAAAGCTGGACAGATACCTCTTATCTATACTTCTTAGCAGGACAAATTCCAAATGAATTACAAAATTAAACCAACTTCTCAAACTATCATGTATTATTTTAGTAGAATCAAGCAAGCCTGGGAATTTATTTTCATAACCCTGGTTTAAACAAAAGAGAAAAGGCTTTCTAACTGACACAAAGCCCAGAGTCCATAACAAATACATGATAAATCTGACTAACAGACATCATGAATGTCTAGACAACATAAACCAGCATAATCAGGACAAACTAGGGTCATAGTGACTGCTCTTAATATAAAAAAAGGGAAGACTTTCCACAAACAACAAGACTAACAGGACAAGGGATATGGATAAGCAGTTTACAGAAGTACAAATAGTTTTTATACACTTGAGAATATGTTCACCATTACTTAGAATGGACAAACTATAATGGGAACTTTCCCCATTATAACACTGTTTCATAACATTGTTCTGAGGAGAACATAAGGAAGAAGAGGCAGTCATCTATATTCATAGCTGGCAGTAAAGCAAACTGATATAACCTCTACAGAGGACAAAGTGAAGATCACAAAATAACATACCATTGCTCAGATTTTATCTTCCGCGTGCACACGCACACACAACCTGCTAGGTAATGAATATTAACTACAGCACTGTTCAACAGCAAAACTGTATATTATAAAACTGTACTAATCTAAGCTGTGACATATAAGCCAATACAGAACACAGAAATCAACCCATATATATGGTCAATTAGTTCATATTTAATAAAGAATATAAATGAGGAATAGTGTTCGATAAATAGTGTTAGGAAAACTGGACATACATATGCGAAAGAATGATACTGAACCAATATCTTAAACCATGTACAAAAGTTAATTCAAAATGGATTAAAAACTTAAGACATGACAGTCTTTAAAAATCTAAATAGGGCCCTGCCTAGTGGCACAACGGGTTAAAGTGCAGCACTAAGAAGCTAGCTTCAGCATGAGTTTGATCACCAGCCAGGAGGTGACCCACATGGCGTAGCGGACCTCTCTGCCTCGCCCATTGCTCCCCTCGGCAGTGTACTTCATCCATCTGCCTGTTCTGCTCCCCACTCTGTCTCTAGCAAAGCCACTCACTGCTCCTGCACCTCTGACCTATACCCCAGTTCTGTATGCAAAAATAAATCAATCTTTAAAAAAAAAAACCTGAACAGGCAGTAAGTTCTTTGACATCATTCTGAGCAGTGACATTGTGAATCAGATACTAACAGCAAAAGTAACAAAACACAAAAATAAGTGGGATTACATCAAACTAAAAAGCTAGCACAGCAAACAAAACCACTCGTAAAAAGACAGCCAACCAGGCCCTCCCTGGTGGCGCAGTGGGTTAAAGCACAGCACTGAGAGGCTAAAGCCACTTCCGCGTGAGTTCGATTCCCGCCTGCCCCAGAGGTGACCACATGCGTGGCAGACCTCTCCTGACCCGCCCGCTGCTCCCCTCAGCAGTGTACTTCGTAGATCTGCCTGTTCTGCTCCCCACTCTGTCTCTGGTGAAGCC